GGGTAGTAGTGAAGCCAAGAACAGCTCATAGGGGGGATGGGCCCCTTAGCCGCAGAGAAGGCAACCCGTCTAGAGAAGGAGACTCAAAGAAAACCTAAAACAAGAAACAATGGGAGATAAAACTACAAAGAATCTACACCAGATGGGACCGGCAGAGCCGGAGAATCCCACTCCTCTAAGGAGGGCTGTCCCAAGGATTCTGGGGGGGACAATTTTCCATTTTCAAAGACAAAAGAGATCGCGAACAGACAGAAGAAATTGCAAACACTGCATCCCCAATTCAGCCGTCTAAATGTAATTGGTCAGCTTCAACGCTGCAATTCAACTACTTCTTTTGAGTTTGTCGTTTTTGTTGGCCTGGCAAACAAGTATTTAGAAAATGAATGACCGATCATAAAAATATATTCATAGATTTTATTTAGTTTTTGTCTCAAAATTTTATTTATTATGGAACTGTATTTTTTTTAATTTAGAAATATTTATCTGCCAAAAGCTTTCATAAACTGATTTATTTTTTTTTGTTTACAGTAGTTTACAGTAGTTCTCTAAATATGAGAATTACCTTGTTTCTCATTCAGTAATCAACCAAGCATATTTTCAATCGATTATATTTTGACTCTGTCTTAACAAGAATAAGTATTAATGAAGAATATTGTCGCGACCTAGCTGGGGGTTGTTTGCTAGGGTCGCTATACCAGGTTCTCTCTCTCAATCAAAACAACCATTGAACAAAATGTGCATTTATTTAATATTAAGTTCACAGTATATAACAATTTTGGGGAATGCCAAGACTTAATGGTTTAGTTAACTAAGTACTTACAGGAACATCTTCAGTCTGCGCTGTCTTCTGCTAACGGACTGATGACGCGAATTACTAACTGTATAATACGACTCACATCGACGGACTAACCTCCCGACTCTCTTCAGCATACAGCACACACATGAATTCAGTTAACTTTGAAAAGTGGCTGCATAAACAATTATTACTAAATTTGAAGAAACCTTCATTAATAATATTGGATAATGCGGCATATCACAGTCGTCAAATAGATAAATGGCTCACCAAAACCTGGAAAAAGAATTATATTCAACAGTGGCTTCGCTCCAAAGACATTAGCTTTCCAGAACATTCTACATTGGGTGTGTTATGTGATGTAATTAATAAAATCCCAAAAAATGATAAAATATATGCGGTAAATAAAATTATAGAAGATGCTGGTCACGAAGTATTGCGTTTGCCTCCATACCACTGCCAATTTAACGCTATTGAGTGGGTATGGAGTCAAACAAAAATATACTATGACCAGCATATTCTCAAAATAAAAAACCCAGAGGAATGCTGGAAAGCAGCTTTGGAGCAAGTCATTGTGGAACAATGGGCAAATTATGTGGGCCAGTGTACTAAATTAATTAAGGACACATGGGAGAAAGAGAAATTAATAGTTAGTGTCCAGAAGCCAATGATGACTCTGATGTGTCAAAATCTAAATGATGACTCTGATGTGTCAAACGACGAATGAGGTTGATGAATGATGAATGATCTTTTTATTTCTCTTTAAAGAAAATACAAACTACAGAAAAATGGACGATTACATTGGCTAATTCCATTTTGACTGTATTTGACTAACATTTATTTCTTAGTCTCAAGCCATTATCATTTATTGATACCAATAGTAACACTAACATTTCTTTTTCAAATATGACATTTTACTCTCCTGTTAAACTAAACATTTAGAGATCTAATCTGTAATTGAAAAAAGAAAAATCAACTTATTTAATTTACAGCTTTCAAATTAAACCATTGTTGTAAGAACGTGAACCTGTTATAATAGACCTGTCTGCTAAAAAAAATAACATGCTCCTGAATAGTTGTACTTAGATATTTTAAATACTTTTTTTCTTTGTTCTTTGTATTTTTTGCTTCTGACGACGCGAGGAGATATACTTACCTCCTGCAATACCTAAACTATGATAGTACACCAACAAGGAAGAGAATACAAGGAAATACTTAATAGCTGCAAAAACATCATTAATAGCAACAGTTCGGTTAGTAATTCCATTCAAAGTTTTAGAAAAACCAGAGAAGATACTGATCACAACGGACAAAGATGAAAGTGCACTTGAGCTACTAGATAATCTACTAAAAGAAAACTCAGAAATAAGAACAACACGCAGGGGTGACACTAAACAACAACATACAACCATACATATAAGAGGCATAGATGCTACAACGACAAAAGAAGAAGTGCTGTAGGCGGTAAAAATAAACTTGGATCCCTCGAGGACACATCTTACAAACTTAGTGACCTACGCCCAAATTCAGGCGAAACGCTCGCAGTCACATTGACAACTGACGAAGATAGTGCAAACTTAATTTTAAGAGATAAGACATTAAGAGTGGGTCTAGTAAGGTGCCCGGTCATTAAAAGAGTACAAGTCAGTCGGTGTTACAAATGCTGGTCTTACGACCATGATACTGCTGAATGTGATGGACCCGATAGAACAAAATTGTGCTTTAAATGTGGTGATGATATCTGAGTCATATCTGCTGATAATATTTCGGACCATAAAATGATCTACTGCATCTTGAACCTGGAGAAAAAGCCAATAATTCCTAAGTTAATAAAATATCGTACTTTCTCGAATTTCAGTATTAATGATTTTAATGTTGATCTGCATTCATTAGGTTGGGATGATATCTTGTATGAGAGGGATATTTGTACAAAAATTTTATTATTAAATAGCTTTGTTCTAAAATTGTTTGATAAACATGCCCCTATGAAAGAATCACGAATAACTAAGCCACCTTGGTTAACTGCTAACTTGAGAATATTTATGAAACAAAGAGATACTGCTTTACAAAAATTTAAGAAAACAAAAAATATCGAAGATTGGAATCAATTCAAATTTTTAAGAAATTTTACTTGCTACGAAGAGAGAAAAAAAGATATTTGGATAATTTATCTTCACTCAATGATTCGCGTAAACTCTGGAACGCTGTTAAAAACTTTAACTTACATTCTAAGAATGTTAATCTAATTCCAGAGGCATTGAGTAATCTTAACCAGATAAATGATTTTGTTGCACCTTTTGTTCAAAATGTTTCCAACTGTTTGGAGAGTATTGATTTTTTTTCGAGTTGCAGATTTGATAACAACCTGTATTTTTCATTTAAGTTGGCACAAGTATCTGATGTAAACAGGGCCTTATGCGATATCAAGAGTAATGCTTCTGGAGTTGACAACATATCTCCACTTATGATCAGGTATTGTAGCCCGTTTATTGATAAATATATCACTCATATTATTAACTGTTGTATACAAATAGGGTATTTTCCTGATCTTTGGAAGAAGTCTATTGGAAAACCATTGGCTAAAACATCTAAACCGGAAAGTTTTAATGTAATTAGTATTTATTAGGTAATTAGTATTCTACCAGCTGTTTCCAAGGTTTTTGAGAGAGTTCTTTATAATCAAATGTATGAGTATTTTATTGATAACAAGATTATTCCTCCTACTCAGTGTGGTTTTCGACGTAATTTTAGTACAACAACGGCTCTTTTAAATGTTCTGGATGATATAATAACTTCTTATGATCAAAAAATTATAGTCTTTTAATTTTATTAGATATTTCCAAGGTCTTTGATACTATTAATCACTCACTTTTGATTTCAAAATTAAAATATTATGGCTTCGATAATATGTCTCATATTTTGTTAGAGTCATATCTGAGTAATAGATCTCAAAAAATATTTTCGAATAATATATTTTCTAATGAGGCTAAAATATGCTCTGGGGTACCGCAGTTACCCAGTACCCCAGGGACCAATTGAAATAACATTCAACAACGATAACTTTTACACACTTATATTGTAGACAAATATAACACAAGTGAAACTTATTAATTATACTTAAAATAACAACGTTTAAAATTTCTCGTAACAATATTATAAAAGCCAAAGAAAAAACTGTCGATATGCGGATGGCGTCTTTCGACGCGTCGTGCGTACTCTGGACGCGTAAAGCGTACTCTCCCTGGAACCACGTTCAAGTCTCTTAAATAATGTCTCACTTCAAAAATAGCCATATGCGTACAATACAATTTTCATGTTCTTAAATCTAATATTCATAACAGTGGACGACACTGCCCTAAACTTACATTGTTTAGATAGACAGACGTCTGCTATATAGTTTTACGATCAAAATTCCCAGTGGTAATAGTTAAGTTAAAGTTATAATTTTACGAATATAAAGTAGGGTCGTTTATCATCTTAAAGGTAAGGTACCTTAATAAGGTTTTTATAATGGGAAATTTCTTCAACTTTGTTAAAAGAGTAGAGTAACTTTAAACTATAAACAATTATTATAATCTAACAAAAATGTCTTAGCTAGCCCTGAACATGCCGGCCCCTTGAAAAGGTCCGAGCTTTTCAACACAAATCAAGGATAAATCAGTGATCTAGTTTATCTTCGTCTGGCAAGGGTAGAACACACACTTTCTTGATTGAACGTTTGGTACCGTGACCGTTTGGTAATCGCACTGACACTACTCGCACAATATTGTCTTGACCTCTATGTAGTTCGGTAATGCGTGCCATGGGCCATCTAAGCGGAGATATGTCATCTTCAACCAAAACCACAAGGGATCCAATTTTCACCTTCTGGTCTTCGTCGGTTTTCCATTTGTTTCTTGTTTGCAAAGTCGCCAGATATTCTCTGGACCATCTTCTCCAAAACTGAGTATACAGCACTTGTATTCGTTGATAACGAGTGAGACGGTTCATTCTTTCTTCAGAAATCGTTTGTTCAGGCATACTTCTTAGAGAATCGCCAATAATGAAATGCGCTGGGGTTAATGGAGTAAAATCTAGGATATCATTGGACAAGGGCGTTAAAGGACACGAATTTAAACACGCTTCGATAGATACAAGAACAGTGTAAGTCTCCTCATACGTTAAAGAAGCGTCACCAATTGTACGTTTTAAATGATATTTTATTGACTTAACCGCGCTCTCCCACAAACCAACCATATGAAGTGAATGGAATGAAATTCCATTTTATAGAATCCCGAGCCAAAAAATTGTCCACCTCTAAATTATGTTGTTTGTTATTAATCAACTTATAAAGTTCCAAAAATTGATTATTTGCACCAACAAAGTTCAATCCGTTATCGCTAAAAATTTGACTTGATTTACCTCGTCGTGAAAAGAACCGCTTTAAAGCATTTTTTCCGTTAACAGGCCAATATTTTAAACGTAGAATTGATAGTAAAGTCTGAATTCCAGCATGGAAGTTTCTAATATGTGAATCTAAAATTATTAAGTCCGTTAACTTATGTTTGTAGGGTAATATTTTCGGGTGTTGTTGATCGTAACTGACATTTGCGTTTGATAATCTACCGCCGACTCGTAATATGCCTTTAGAATCTAAGAACGGGTGTAAGCTTAGTATTTTACTATTTTTATGTACGTTTCTACTATTTTTCGATTCAAGTAATGATATTTCCTCCGTAAAACATTCGCGCTGTGCTAGTCGTATTAACATTTCCTGTGTTTCGTTAAGTTCCTGTATGCTAAGATTTTCTGATGATATAGGGACTTTCAATAAACAACGATTTTTTAATCTACGCACGTATCCAAAAACACGTACTAATTTCCAAAAAGATGTATATTTTTCGAAAATTGTAAACACCGTTATATCATTGTTGTCAAATTTAGTTTGCTCAGTAACGTTTAAGCTTAATGTGTTCTTTTTTAATTCGGGTAAAATTTCTAAATCAAAGTTACTTTGTATATCACTGTCTAAATTTTTCAACCTTAAAAATTGAGGTCCGAAAAACCACATATTGTTTTCAGAAAGTTCCTTTGGATTAACACCACGCGATATGATGTCTGCCGCATTATCTTTACTTTTTACGTGTCTCCAATCGTGAATGTTTGAAATTTCAATAATATTTGCTACCCTGTTGGCAACAAAGGTTTTTAAATTACATGGTTCGGTTTTTAGCCATGCTAGAACAATTGTCGAATCCGTAAAATATATTGTTCTAGATATTTCGATATCCAAAGTATTTTTTATCTTATAAACTAACTCTGCTAACAAATGAGCTGCTAAAAGTTCAAGTCGTGGTAGTGTTTGTTTTTTAAGCGGAGCAACACGTGATTTTGCCGTTAAAAGTTTAATTTCTTTTTCACCGTTTTTTATTGAAGCTAAATAGATACAAGCACCATATGCTATTTCGCTACTATCACTAAACCCATACATCTCCACCATTTCTACGTTAATTGTCAAAACGTGACGATCGATTCTTACGTTATTAAGATGCTTGATTTCTGATAAAAATTGTAACCAACGTTCTTTTAGATCATTCGGTATATCTTGGTCCCAATCTAGTTTAAGGTGCCACAATTTTTGTATTATTAATTTGCTTTTAATTATGGCTGGACTAATCCATCCAAGCGGATCGTAAATACCAGAAATTATAGATAACACAGATCGTTTTGTTACCTTTTCTTCGCTCTTTGTGATCTTTATTGAATATTTTAAAACATCTTCGTTAGGGCTCCCACGCAATACCTAAAGTTTTTAACTCCCTTGTCGTCGTGAAATAATACTAACTTGTCGTCATGTTTCTCACTTGTACTTAAAATATAATTTAATACTTTTTCGCTATTCGACGACCATTTTCGTAATTCGAATTTCGCGCTCGATAAAATATCTACTAGCTCGTGATAAATTTCCATAGCTTCTTGTTCTGTATCTATACTAATCAACAAGTCGTCAATGTAAAGGAATTATTAATTATTGATGCAGTACGTGGAAATTTAAGTTTATTCATTTCTGACAACTCTTTAAACAGCGTGTGGCTTGGTATGGAGCGCTTGCGGTACCGTAGGTTACGGTTTTTAAATCGAAAACTTTAATTTTTTCTTTCGGATCGTCTCTCCATAAAATTTTTTGAAAACTCTGTTCGCTTTTGTCAATTAAAATACATCGGTACATTTGTTTAACATCTGCACTTAAGACAAATTTTCTTAACAGCAACCGAATTAAAATGCTGTATAGATCGTCTTGAACAGTCGGACCTACTATCATAAGATCATTCAGTGATACGCCTGATTCACTTTTCGCACTCGCGTCGAATACAACCCTACACCGTGTAGTAATTGAGTCTTTTATTACCGCACTGTGAGGTAAAAAGAACGATTCCTTTTCTATTGATTTGTCATCTTCTAAATAACAATTAAATTGCATGTGATCTAAATCTTCGTATTCGTGTATGAATTTTGTATAAAGATCTTTAAAATTTTCATTTTTCTTAAAGCGTGTTTCCAAATTATAAAACCGTTTTAATGCACATTTCCTCGAATTGCCTAACTGATAATTTAAATTTTGTTTAAATGGATATTTAACTATAAATTGACCCACTGACTTTCGCCTTGTTGTCATCTTAAAGTATTCTTCGCAGTATTTTTCATCTTTCGACAAATGCTTTTTATTTTCTAACTCTTGAATCTGCCAAAATTTCGTTAAAGATTTATCAAGATCTTGGTTCGTTAATTCCGAGACAAAATTACAGATCGGTTTGTCGTTAACTATATGATTTTCTGTAACATTTTTGTTATTTAAATCCGTTTCAATTCGGTCAGTATTCCGGTCTACGATGCACATAGTATGCCTAACGTTTTCTTCTCCAAAATTCACCTGTTCATTTCTTTGAGATGCAGGGTTGGCTGGGCCATCGGTTTGCTGTCGTACCTGCGATCCGTTATTGCTTGGACTATGTGGTACATTGTTGGCGCTTCTATTATTTTTTACGTGCGTGTTAATTATTGCTCTTCGATTTTCATAACGCTTCCTTAATAGTTCTATGGCAACCGAGTAATTACTTGCCGTGACGTCTAGCGATTCTATTAATTTTAAGGCATCTCCCTTACATGATAACCTCAAATATATAAATTTGTCTACATCCGATAGATCCGTGTGATTATTAACAATCGAGTCGAAAGTGTCAATAAAACTAAACCAGCTCTCGTAATTGCCAAAAAATGTAGGCAGACCTAAATGTGGTAACCTCGCAACTGCAGAGCCTTGCGTTCCTTGTTGCGTGCGAGATGAATTGAAATTTACTTTATTTTCGATTATCTCTTGCTGAGATTTGTTAAAACATGATATTATCTTTTTTGCCAACGATATTTCCGAATAAAATAACGTTTCCAAATGTAAGCCTTGATCATCTTCATCTGGTACTAAGTACTCTAGACGGGTTTGAATTCGATTAAATTTACTCATATCCTCTTCCACGATTTTTAACCTGCTTTCAATTTGAAATACATCAACGTCTAGAATATTTTCGATATCTTCCTGAATTTTTAAAAACTGAGAAAAACGAGATAAATGAGCTGAAATTACCTTACGTGCGTGTATAAGTTCTGATTTTTCATCATCGTTTGAATTAGAGTTACTGTTAGTTTTCGACGATTTGTTTCGTGGCATTTTGACTTACGATTCGTATAAAATGGCTTTTCAATATTGATTCGAGAACGAGAACTTATTCTAGCGAGTATATACGTGCGAGATAACGATTAAATCAATAAATATAATGCGAGACGAGAATCAACTTATTATTCGTGAAGTTCGAGAAATTCGTGACGTTCGAGAAATTCGAGAAAATACGTATTTTTTAAACCAAAACGTGCATTGATTAACGAGAAACGATTGAAAAACGATGCTATAACAATTGTACGAGGATTAAATTTCTTTCGAGAATAAATCGTTACGTGTAGTATACTATTTAAACTAATAATATACGAGATATTTCAATACAAGATATTACGAGACGTGATTACGAGAAATAAACAACAAGAAAATATATTTTTACGTGAAATATGTCTATTTGACATCTAGAAATACGAGATATATATGCTACAATTTTACGCTGAACTAACAAATACGAGATTATGAAAAATAAGGAAGGAGTAGGTAAAAGGAAATAAGGATATAGCGCTAATCAAAAACGATCTCACCAAATCATCTTCTTCAATCTTCAAACTGCTTCGATATCTTCATAACATCAATTTTCCATAGGTTTTTCTGATTCCTTGATCCGGGCGAAGTGACCAAAATGGTTGGGGCTCGTAAAACCAAAATGTTTCTGGCTTGTAGGACCAAAATGTATCTTGGCGGAGAACCAAAATCTGGATGATTCTGGTAGTCGGACTGTCGAAGGACCAGTTGAAATAACATTCAACAACGATAACTTTTACACACTTATATTGTAGACAAATATAACACAAGTGAAACTTATTAATTATACTTAAAATAACAACGTTTAAAATTTCTCGTAACAATATTATAAAAGCCAAAGAAAAAACTGTCGATATGCGGATGGCGTCTTTCGACGCGTCGTGCGTACTCTGGACGCGTCGGTCTAGCCGTCGGTCTAGTGTGACTCCGAGATACTTGGCGGTTTCCCCCCAAGGGATCTCTTCGTCGTCTATGACTAGCGGAGGAGGTAGTGGGAGCCTCATTCGTCCGGAGACGAACAAGGTTTGGGTTTTTGCTGCATTGATTTTGATTTTCCAATGGGAAAACCAATCAAGCAGCTGGGCGATGTGGGGTTGGAGCCTGCTCAAAATTCCATTGCTCGAGGCAGTGGAGTAGAGACAGGTGTCGTCTGCGAATAACGCAAGACGAGTCTCCAGGATTTTGGGATATCGGAAGTGAAGGTATTATAGAGTGTGGGCGACAGGACAGAGCCCTGCGGTACCCCCCGCCTCTATAGCACGAGGAGTGGAAAGGGAGTCTCCGATGCGGACCCGGAATCTCCTATCGACAAGAAAGGATTTAATGATGAGAGTGATCTGTTGGGGAAAGTGGAGGACGTGGTGAAGTTTGTACACAAGTCCCTCGTGCCAAACCTTGTCAAAGGCCTTCTCGATGTCAAACATGACAAGACCAGTGCCCCGCTTGGCGTTTAGACCCTGCGTGACATGTTCTCAACTTCAACTTGCTGTTCGCAGGAGAGGGATTGGCTAAATCCGAACTGCTCCTGAGGGATGATCTCGGCACTAGCCAAGAAGTCGTTAATTCTAGAGAGAATAATTTTCTCAGCCAGTTTCGAGAGGGAGGAGAGGAGGCTGATGGGGCGCCAGTTTTCTGGGAAAGTGAGGTTCTTATTTGACTTTGGGATTAGAATAATTATAGCTAATTTCCAAACGTTCGGAAAATATCTAAGGGACATTATCAGATTAATGATGGTGGTAAATTGGGTTATAAGAACCTCAGGGAGGTGTTTCAGTGCGATGTTGTTTACTTGGTCGTGACCTGGGGCTTTTCTGCTGCGCAGTGTGGAGATGATGGACGAAATTTCTTTAGGAGTTGCTGGGGGGATAGGGGCCTCGAGAGGGGGAATGGGAGCTACGAAGTTTCGAGTCGGCAAAGGCCTCTGCCTTCGCTTCGTCGGAATAGACCACTCCGTTTAGGCCGTGAATTGGGGGGACGTAGCGTGAGTTTGTGTTTTCATTCGCTTTTGAACCTTCCAAAGCGACTTTTATCGTCCTCCTGCGTAGATAGGAAGCTCTCCCACCTTTCATCTCTGAAAAGTTTGAGCTTTTCCTAATCTCGCGTACCAGACTGTTAATCTGTCGCTTTAGATTGGGGTCGAGAAGGGCACGATACTGGCGTTTGAGCCAGTTTTTCTCGCGGATAAGTGGCCTGGATATGTGGGGGGCTAGAAAGGGGTTGTTTAAGACGGCACTGTTGAAGTGCTATGATCTATGGCTTGGGTTATGGCTGAAGTGAAGGTGGGGAGACCGCCGCCTCGAGCGAGGCGGCGTCCGCGATGCGCGGTAGGGTGGGCGGGTGTTCTTGGAGAGTTTTGGCAAATTTTGCCAGTTGGTGGTTTTCGTGTTTTATGGGTGGAGATTGTGTGGGTATTAGTGATAGTAAAGAACACCGGGGGAATGATCAGAACTAAGCTCATCATGCACTGAAACTGACATGTGGGACGTTATGTTTTGGGAAAGTCCAAAGTCTATGGTCGATGGTATGCCGCGAGGAAACATGTCGGGTCACTTGGAAAGTGGCCCTGAATGGGGAGGTCGTTGAAAGTTCGGCTACTGCCGTTCCTCAGGGGTTTCTTTGCCGAGATCCCCAACGCCGGTGTCTGGCGTTAAAGTCCCCAGCAAGTAGGATTGGGAAGTTGGTAGAGGAGAGAAGCATTTCGAGATCGTGTCTTGTGTCCTCGCGAGAGGTCTGGTTGGGGATGTAGA